CTTATAGGGTTTATACTGAGTACAATATTGTATAACTGTAATAATTCAACTGTAAACCTAAAAATTTACAGCCAATTTTGAAAGAGATGCATCCTACCTCAGGAAACCGTTATTGAATATGTCAATTGTGTTGTAATGATATGCTTCTTCTAAGTATGTTGTTATTAAATAAATCATTTTTAAAAATTAAAAAAAAAGTATTAAGTGTTTATTGTAGGAAACTGGAAAATACAGAAAATCAGGTGCAATTAAAAATTACTTGTAATTTGAGATCTTAGTAACAAATATTTCTAATAATCAGATTTAATCATCTTTATAGATGTTGTTTCTGTTCAAGTTTAAAAGTATGTTTCTGGGATACAATTTTCTAAGTTTTTCTTCTAGAAAAATTACAAATCATATAATGTATTGGTGTTAATGTGATCATCACTTGGTGTTTTAAAATGAGAATTTTCTCAAGTTGGCAAAGAACTTTATAATACAGCATTATTAAAGTGTGGTATGGGAGCTCTTAGGGTTCCCAAGACTTTCAAAAGAGCTTGAGATTGAAATCATGTTCATAGTAATATGAAGACATCTGCTTTACTTGCTCTGATCACAGTGGAATGTTCTACAATATGTGATATATCATCATCAATGCTCTGAGGGCTGGTGGAAGGTATGCTTATACCATTATTTTTTTCAAAGCCTGTTAATTTACAGTAGATTAAATAAATATTGATAGATATATAAATCACAAAAGTAGTTTGGAATACTAAAATATGAATAAGTGGTCTAAGTAATCTGGAAACCAAAAAGGCTGAGAAATGCTAACATATCTCATTGAGACTATTCAGAGACTAAAGTCTGGCAAGTTGCCTGGGGTCCCTAATCAAGATTTGAATAAGTATGGGAGAAAACAAAAACTTTGTCTCTGAAGTCTAAGCTTTGAAATCCCATGTCAAAAGGTAGTCCATTCCTGTTAGTTTGGGTAAAAAAGTATAGTGAAAAGATATGCATGTTTGGACCATGATGAGTATATACTTAGAATATGGGTTTATAAGTTCCTTCAAAATGATTATTAAAATATAATGTACACAAAAATGTACACATGATCTGTTTTTGTTTTTTCTTGACACAAGGTCTTAAACAGCCCAGGCTGGTCTGAAACTTGTTAGTTTGATGCTCAGGTTTGCCTAAAATTTGTAATCTTTCCACCTATGCCTCCCAAGTGATGAGATTAAAGGTATATGCAACCTTGTCAAACGAGGAATTTCTATCAACACGTTGCTATGACCAGAACACAGTTCAAGTGAGATGATGCCCCTCTTGTGGCCTCTTCTTTCTAAATTCAACCCCTCCCAAATAATGGCTATCTTACAGTCCAAAATGGTAGATTAGTTCTGTCTAAAATTTACATTATCCAATTTGTCAACCCAGAATTTAGAATTAGAATATATAGCTTAGATCCCCAAATCCTGCATGGATAATTATAGACAACTGATTTTTCTTAAGACTTACTATTCCTTAAGTCTTATTTTTTATTTTGTTTTCTTAATGATGCAGGTTATAAAAATGCCTCATATTTCAAGCAGTTCCATTTTTGACCAAATCTGTTGATGACACAAATCACCTGTGGTAGTAGTCACAACCCTCCTGTTTTTGTACTGGGGGTTAACAGAAGGCCTGTGCATGCTAGGCAAATACTGACACTGAGCTACATGCTCAGCAAAACCCCTATCCTTAAAGTGGTGGTTCTTAAAGGACCAGCATTATTGGCATCATCTCAAAACTATTAGAAATGCAAATTATTGAGCTCTGCCTCAGATATACCTATGGAGAACTGTGGTCACTGCCAGCGGCAGCTACTCCTCCGTTCCCATGGGTGCTGCTCCTTTGTTCTCACGGGTGTCAAGGCTGCTCCTCCACTCACACTGGGCTGAGGCAGCTCTCCTGCTTGCCCTGTGCTGCCTCCTGTCATCACTACTTCTAACCAGTCCCAGACCCCAGGAATGGTGATGAGACGGTGTCAACAGAGCCATATTCAGACACAGGAGTCCAGGTTCAGTGACACAGGTCTGCTTTATTGCAGGAAGGCACAAGTTTATATAGAGGTAGTGGTCCAATCACAGCACAGCAA